TCGAACCCCCGAGCCTTAAACCCTTAAACCCTAAACTGGGACACCAAATGGGAGTTTCCGAAAATTGGGGGTACCTCATGTTGGGGTCCTTACAGTAAGGACCCTACTATGTAGGGTACTATATTAAGCATCCTTAAACCCTCAACCGGGCCTCGAGAAATTACTAAGCCTAAGAAGCCCTAGCCCGGATGTAGCTGGAAAAGAAGCTCCTGCCTGCATCCCTAACTTACGCAGAAAGCCTTGCCACCCCAGCATCCAATCTAAGGTCGCGGGCTTTAAAGCAGTTGATGTGTCCCCAAGGGTCCAAGTACCTAATAATCATATACTCTCCGAAATCCTAACCCACATAAAAACTATCCTACAAGAGAGTACCTAATTTTCGGGGTCCTTTGCACCCTTCGGGTGTCATTATAAAATATCCAAAGAAGCTAAATCCATTGAAGGTTAATGTATGCAGAAATTACATGACTGCCTAAAGGCACTACTTCAGAAAAGCCGGGAACCACGTCTTTGCAGAGCCCGATGTGTTTCACATGTCAACTGAAGTAGAAATCTGGTAAGATACCCTTACTGTAAACGTGGTTAGGCGCAAAGCGATTACAGATTCGAACCTAGTCGTGCAAGCATGCAAAAAATCACACAGCATCCTCCTCCCGAAGGCTATGGGCTTCGGTGCAATTTAAGGTTTAGGGGTCAGAGTTTCGGTTAGGGTTTCGGATTTCATTCGGTGCGGAGTCTAGGGCCTAGGGCAGAGGTCTACACAAAGTACATGGTTCAGAATAGTGAGAAGTAACATCCCTTTTACAGCCCGTTCACATTTAATGGCAATGTCCGCAGAAGCCTTGTTCTAATTAATGATTTAGGACGCCCTTATATTCCCTAGCTCACCCTAAACCCTAAGCCCTATTATAAACCCAGAGCCCTAAACCCAAAACCCTAAGCCCTAAATCGTAGGTGTAGGATACTAGGATGCCCGGTAGTACCCTTATTCCCTTTTGTGGTCCTAGGTTCCTTATAAAGTTACCCAATACCAAAAAGAGAGGCCTTTTGATTCTTAGGTTACCCTTGGGCCCCTAAACCCTAAGCCCAAAACCCTATAGATCCTTTAAAGGAACCCCTGAAGTACCCTTCAAAGGCATCCTAGTATAATTATTGTGGTACCCTTATAGACCGCTGGGTAACCTAGGATATGGATCCTTTGGAGGCAATGTTCAGGGCCAGTCCTAAGCCCAGAAAGGAGTAAGTCCGGGGTGGTTTGAGGCGAGGCGAATCGGAAAATGTGACAATACAGGGACCTGAATCATTAGAGTAGAGCTTCGGGGTGTAGCTCATGAAAAGGAACTCCAACAAAGCTTGAACATTACTCAGGCTTCGAAGATAGCACGAGGCACTTAACCTGACTTGTCGCGCCAGTCCACAACCGACCCTACTGGTAGTGTCTACTAGATCCTAAACCCTAAACCGCGGTTTGGGTTTGGCTCGTGGCTTAAGCTGTTGAAACCAGAGCCTGTGCCCGAAATACTTAGCCTCCGTTCGGAAAACCATTCGTAGTATGCCGGCAGTGCTGGAATCTTCGCCCTGTGTCTCACGACTTACCACCAATCTTCACAACATGTAGCATGCCAGAAGCATTTATGGACGTGCGATGCCCTGATCTGTTTTGCCGCCACCCTGCAAAATCGCTTCCGTGGCCGCGATCTCGGCCAACGACACGAGTCATAGTTCGGATCATAAAAACAGCGGGAACAACCGAATACATCTTGGGCATGGAGATTGCCAGTGTGGTTCTTGAAGATGTCCGCTGGTGGCTCCCACAACATGCAAGACTGCTCATGTGTTACCAGAATGCCTTTGTTCCGCAGATTCGGTTTCGAATGATGAGCATGCGTCGAATATGACAGCGGGCACTTAACTCATAACTCATTGGACAAGACGGCGTTGAACACACGACGGCCTTGAACGATCCAAGCACGATTTTGTGATGCATTTCAGTCGACTTTCCGTAACTGACCATACACCCTCCATACTAGCAAAGATGATACCAGAGAATTGAGGACATTCTTTTAGGTACGAACTCCAGGCGTATCAAATTGTAGCGGATCGGTTTGCGACCTTGTAATTAATCTGTGTTGCCGCTTGCTAATGCAAAATCCACGTGATGGTTTGGCCGAATTTAAGCGAATGCCTTTCTGCCGCTGCATTGGTTTCGGAGTTGGGAGTATCGACACAGCGGCATACTAGTCTGCTTGGTGTCAGGGCGACGGCGCACTCATGATGCAGGTTGGATTGTGTTGGAGAAAAGTATCGGTATGTTGAAGACAACGTCAAGACCACTCGACTCAAAGCACGGATGCGAAGTAGCTCATGATTAAGCTTAAGATGTACATTACATCCTCCGCAGCAGAATCTGCAATCTTGCCGTGATTGTTCGGCGTGGCTCCCTGAATGCTCACTCTGTGTCAGGTGTGGCTCGGAGAAGACGTTTCTGTCGACGCCTTCGGCCAAAGACCCAGAAGCGTTGCGGTTTTCACCCTTGCGATATAGCACGTTTGCTGGTAGAGGGGTCGCTTAGCCAACTTTTTTTCGGGTCGCTTAGCACGCTCCAGTTTTGGTCGCTTGGCACGCTCATTTTCACAGGTGTTGGAAGCCGAACAAAGGTTATGTACTAGATGCACATGCATTGCATATCGATGATGCTGGCCCCCTAGGCATTTTGCTTCGGAAACCATGGGACTGCATGCGAGGGTCCTGGATTTTTCCCTGGACCCTAAACCCTAAACCCTAAAAGGAAACCCTAAACCCTGAACCCTAAACCTTAAACCCTGACAGGAAACCCTAAACCCCAAATCCTCAACCCTTCACAACCCCACCCTCCGAGCCCTCATTCCAGCCCTGGGCCACTCCACCTTTGCCTATGCCGAACGTACGTTCCCAGGGGGGAAGAGTTTAGGGTTTCTGCTTCGGGACTTGGGGTTTCGGTTTAAGGCGGAAGGCGGGCTTGGGCCAGCCTCGGGACGGCCCGAAACCCTAAATCCAAAACCCTGAACCCTAGACCCTAAACCCTAAACCCTAAAAGGAAATCCTAAACCCTAAACCCTGGACCCTAAACCCTAGACCCTAAAAGGAAACCCTAAACCCTGAACCCTAAACCTTAAACCGTGAAAGCAAACCCTAAACCCTAAACCCTAAGAGCCCGGCCAGCATTCGGGCTCAAATCAGGCTGGTAACTCTGGGCACCTTAGCTGCAGCTGCGATGTTGCACTTGGCGAACGGCCCTGCTTCAATCTCCTGCCAAGATGTACCAAAGCTGCAAAAAGAGCATGGCGCAAATTCTTGGGCAGTAGTGCCAAAGCTCAGAGACGATTCATCCCGATAAAGCTCTAATCACCCCGAGTTTCTACTCGGAGAGTTTTCGCGGGGTGGGGAGACAAAGTGACAGCTCGAGATGATCTGTAGATTTGCAGGTCCCCATCTTTCGCGATGTCTGCAAACCTGGAAACGTCCAAAAATCCAGACCGTTTTTGAAGCCTGGTAAGTTGATTGCTCCTGCAAACGTTGCATTCGGTAAGCTGGTGGTCTGCCAAGCTCGGCTGGAAATCTGGAATGTTGAAGGCCTGCCAAATCCCAGATGTTTTGCGGGCAGAAGCAAGCGAAACCTGCCAGCTGCTCAAATTCTCCCAGCAGTCCTGCCAAGCAAATTGATCATGGGAAGCACTCCACCAAACACCCCAATCAAGCACATCTTTAAAAGGCTCCTTTATTCGATGCGTGAAGTCTTCAGAGGCATGTTCATTCACATGGTTGTTCGGGGATTACATCAAAGTACTTTGCAAGGGGTCTGCGAATGCCCTGGCAACGTAACTTGATTTGTTCCTGTTCGGATTTGTTCGCGCTTACCTTGAAAGATTTCTCCGAAAGGCACTTTGGGTTTTCCGCTGATATTGTCCTGAACCGCTTCTTAGACGAAGTTTGTTACCGAATTTCTTTCTGTGGGGTTCTTGTGAAGAGCTTCATCTACGGATGCTTTCGAGCTGAAGATACTTCCTGAGTGATTTCGTGCTACCTGAAAGCTTCGTGCTGAAGCTTTGTCAAGGCTCCATTTCCGACTTGTCTCTTGAAGTTCTACAGGGACTTCATGACAGACATTTTTTTCGCCCTAGCATTTTTTTGAAACATGCCGAAACCACAACTGCCTTTGGTTTGTCCCACAACTCACAGCATCTCTCTGTTTTGTTGAAATGCAGTCTTTGGGAGTTCCTTAGCGACTCTGCGACATTTCATATTCCATTCTGAAGCGTATCAGGGCAAGTACTGCCAACATCGTGGAACATTACTTGAGATTCTTCGATGCTCTGTCAAGCTCGTGAGACCTCTGCTTGCTGTTGATCAGCGAGCCTCCACAACATCGTGAACATGTGGATGCGACTAGGTCCTACAGCAAGTATACTATGTCCAAGCCCCCAAACCCGGCCGCGCCCCTCGTAGAGCTGTCCCCATGATGGCAGGTTAGATTGAAGGGACCTTCTCCAGAGTTTTGTCACGGGTCTCCTCAGCATTTGCCGACTTGCCCCATGATCAGGTGCTTACTTAATGCACTCCTTGCTTGGTCTTTCAAAAAGACGGTAAACCTTCAACATTACAGGCCGACCTGCAAAGGTTGAGTGCTTTAGGCTGAGAGCTTGCAAGTTACGAGTTTTTCTCTGCTCGTTTAGTTAATGTAACGCAGCGTTTGAGTATCGCAGCCTACGAACCAAATCATGTTTTATCAAGTTGCATGAACAAGCCTTTTTGGGCTCACCTGAACTTCATTTGTGTTCTGCTTCCTTCTTGGAGATCGGAAGGCTCTCCTAAGCCCCTAAACCCCGAGGAGTTGGGAGTGAAGCTTGAGGGCTTGAGAACAAGAGTTCTAAGCACTGAGGACGGATGCCTCTTCACCTTTGAACAAGGACTCCAGGTGGATGGCAGGCTCATCCTGGCAGCTGCGCTGCTTGCCTCTCGCCTTGACACGAGGTATATTGGGAGGGTTATAGTGGGCTACCCATGATAGCCCTATACCCCATTTGCTTAGCCTGAGTGCATGTGCGCATGTCCGATGAGGTGCTTGCCTTCTGGGCTCGTCACTTCGACCAGGCCGTTGTTCCACACACATTTGTTTTCGCAGCTGTTGATGACTAGCATCAGGTGAGGAAGTTACTGTGCACTCTGTACACAGTGAGGTCACCTGTCGAGTGGTATCCTTTTTGGAGGCTTGGCTGCTCACCGTCAGTGGCTCCTCTTAATGTATTTGGGAAGGTTTGGATGGCGTGGTTCTTGGCAGCTCAGGCTTTCTGCTCTGGGCCTCTACTGGCGCGTTTAAAGCTCATTGCCTCGAGAGCTTGCGTTTCCTGGCGACCACAAGATAGTTTCCAAGAATTCTGGAACGGTGCACAAGTAGATCCCCATGGCCACGTCAATCCACATGTACTCAGTTGCTAAGTTTGAATTCTGAGGCTGCAAGGTGCACTCTATAGCTGTGCACTGCATGCACCCTGGCCGCAGGTTCACACGCCTTTTGAGCGCGTTGTGTCAACTTAGGTACGAGAGAGAGAGAGAGAGAGAGAGAGAGAGAGAGAGAGAGAGAGAGAGAGAGAGAGAGAGAGAGGGAAAGAGCAAGAGGCACGGAAACAAATGAGACATCGATTGCAGAGGCAGGTAGGCAGTGAAAAGGAGAGAAAATCTTGCTGCTCTTGTTCCTGTTTTCCGGAACTTGACGAAACCCCAAGACCCTCACGAAGGGCTGCCTCCGAGGCTATTGGCAGCAGTGCTCAGCTGGCACATTAGCGCTATGGCCTGGCACGGCAAGCGCGCAAGGCCCTAGAATGCATAGGCTTGGGGCTGCTGTTATAGAATATAATGGGTATACTTGACGGTTTGTGTGGATCCGCAATATGGCAACTTACATTAAGTTCCTTGACAGCAACCCAGCTGCGGGGCGTGTTCAACATTCAACGTACCTGCAGAGCCATGAAGCGTTGCTGGTTGCTGAAAGGTCCAGCGAGGGTGGCGGCGGCATCCGCAAGCCAAAGCCCAGGAATGTCTCCTTGTTGCGATTTAAGCTCTGGCCGCAGAATTTGTGTCGGAGACTTTGCCTCGTTTTACGCCCTACTGTGAAGGACGTGCTTCGCAAGCCTGCGCTTCAGGACTGCAATGTGCTGCTAGGATTTGGCATTAAGAGTTGGAGCTGCTGCTGATGAAGTGTTCCAAGCATGGCAGCTCAAATCTGGTGAACACACACATATAGATAGGTGCATGTATATATGCTACACATATATGTATATGGGTAAAAGGGTATACCCCCGCCATGCATTTCGTGCACTTTCCTTATACAACGTGTGTTCCCGTATTTAATTTCCCTTATATATATATATATATATAAGATGCGTTACAAAATGAAATGTTGTGTGTTCCGAACTTTCTTATAGAATTAGTTTATAGATATGATGTTGCGTTTTGCGAAACATGTGGGCTGTTTCGAAACATGAGGGGGTAAACCATTGAACCGTGGAACCATCCATTGAACCTGCAGATCTTGAGGCAAGTGCATGTCTTTCGTTGCTTCGGCCCTCTCCAGGTCAGGCATGTTCGAAGGTTCAGGCTTAGGCGTACGTCTTCAGATGCCCTAGAAGCCTTCATAGCCTAACTGTACAGATCATCATCAGACTATTTGCAAAGAAGCTAGAGATGAACAGTTTTGCGTGTTCGTTGCTGGCGGTAAAAGGTTCCCGGGCCACCTGCTGAAGCTGCAGAACCAATAGTTTCCCGCCATAGGGTGAACCATTGCACCATTGAACCCGTAGTTTCCCCTCACAGGGTAAACCGTTCAACCCAGGCCCTATGTTTCGAACACACGTTTAGATCTCCTCATTCAACTATGTATATCTTGTAGTACTTTATCTATGCCTATTATCAAGTTATAGAAGGATATGCACCAAACCAAGTAACACTTCCATATGGAAATATGGATTTGGTAGAACACCTATGTGTTATCCAAGTATCCTGTGCGTACAACCCAAACGGATCTATAGTACTCAAGTTTACATACGGGAAGCCGTTTGTTTAATGGTTTGATAGAGTAGGGGTTTACCTCTATTTTCACCTTTTTACTTCTTTTCTTTACTTACATCGTCCGGAAACCTTTTTCTCCAGATTATCATAGTTATTTTGATTATGTTCAAGAGTGAATAATTAAGATAGTTGAACGGGAAGTGATTTCCAGGTAATATCAATAGTTAAGATCATCATAAAAGATTATACCAATCCTTTTTTCCTAAATTATTAAACTAATTACAATGGTTTATCTACTTATCTTATTCCTTTTAACGTTTTAAGTATCTAACTAATATGAAACCCGCTTTCGCAAGACTTATTCTGATTATCTTAGTGATTCAAAGCCCATTACTCAAGAAGCTGCAGTTTAATTGCTGAATTCTTAGAACTTGGGCTCCTCCTGATTTTCCAGAC